TATTTGCTGAAACAGCCTGACGATTTCCTTAGCTGGCTGGCACTGTAGAACACGTTGCAACTTTAATTTAATCAGCGTATAAAATATGTAGCAAATGGAAAAATGCTGTTATTCAATTTGCTGCTGAATGGAGTGATGTGTGCGCCACGACTGCCTCCTGCTGAGTGCTCGCAGATTGGGGGGGCGTGGCATCGCTGGTCCACTTGAAATGAGTCGCGTGTCGTGTCGGTTTTCGGGGTAGCGTGCCGTAGCGATGGCTACTCCAGGATCGTTGCACCGGCAACATGTTTACGGCGGTGCGTGCAGCACGTTGATGCATGTTTATTTTCGATTGCTGCCGCTGTTGCAGCAGCAGCAGCATCACACACACACACATACACAGACTTATACGTCTATATGTATATATGCCCACACATGGACAGGCTATAAAATCTGTCGCTTTTTTCGTTACTTTTCTTTCGGGCGCCCACAATAAACAGACGTGTTTTTCATAATGCATTTTTAATAAAGTCTGCACAGATTTCCAGCTTTTTTATCGCCTTATTTTTACCTTTCACTCATTTTAAAATTCATTTTATTTTTGTTTTCGCTTTGGTTGTCGTTTTGGTCCTTCATTTCAGTGCTACAACGTATTTCGAATTTATTTATAAACAATCGGTTGGCCCCATTGATTCATGTAATATACACCGCTGGAAAACCCATAAAATATACTAAAGAAAAACACCAATATTATTTAAAGCCATTTCCGATTTATGACTGACTTTCATATTTTTTTCCGGCTTTGAGCTGTGTATAAAGCCTTACATGAATTTTGTATATGTTTGTTTTCATAAAAAAAGGCATGAAAACCCGCATTTCAGAAGAATTTGCAGGCGGACATGGTTATTGAAAGCTCTTGTTGCTATTAACTTACATATAATGTGTTCAAGCAAGTTACAACGAACAGTTTTCATATATTAAATTAAGGATATAGCAAAAGCAATTGCATTTTTACAAAATAACTGAATTCATTCTGAGAATATATTTCCAGAATATATTTTGAAATTTAATTACAATGGACTGCCAAAGTCATCAAATGCCGTTGAATGAATTTGGAGATATTAATTAATTAATTAAGAAATATAAATAAAATGCGTCGCTCTAAAAATCAGATCAGCATAAAATATAATACTTTGATCATCTGAATAAAACATAATGTATTATATCTGAAGCATATAACATGCATATACAAAATATAGAATATATAAATGTAATTAAAATACATATATATAAGATAATAATTAATAAGAATTAACTCTCTGGTTTTCGAAAGATGTTTAATGTTATACATTTGAGTTATTCCGAAAGCAAACTTCATACTTTTTGTACATTGTAATTACTAAATATCCCAGACAATTATAATTTCTGCTCCCTTATTGAAATCCTTTTTTGTACTGATTATAATTCCAAATTAATCTCAAAGAAACCATTTTAATTTACTTAAAAGCTTTCCTCTAACAACTCACCCTTTTTTCGCCTTGGCAAAGTCTGTCTCGTCTTTGTCGACTCCTTGAAGGGTTAGGGCAGGCCTGACTTGCAATTCAGATTCACCAAGGTAGAAACTTTCGAAGAAGATTTATTGCCGTCAAACTTAGCTTGCCTATGCAATTAAAGCATCGAAAATAAATAAATAATGCTTGGCAATGAATATTTTATCATATCAATCACACTTTGCTAATCATTTAAACTTTGTATGATTTTTGTCTCTATTTATTGTTTGATAGAGCAGAAATTGTCTTCACCAATTATAATCACGTTAATAAAAACAAACATACAAAAAGTTAATACATTTCATCTAATATATTCATACAAATAATGACAAAATGTCAATCTATTTGAAGCTATAATTTATTTTAAAAAAAACGCCTGTAATGGAAATACAGCAAAACGTAAATTTGTGGATATTTCTCTAATGAGTTTCATGCGCCAAAGCATTCGTATTGGATATCAATGTAAGCCATCGCCTACTGACGGCCACGCCCCACTAAATGCAGCACCGCAGACTGGCTTGCCTTGGGCATTTGCGGGCCGACCTTTGACTGGCGCGCAAATAATACACAGTTGCCACAATCACCGCCACGCCCCCTGCCACGCCCAAGTCTTAGGAAAAGGCACATTAATAATTTTCGCCAGCTATTTGCTTACCTATATCAGTGAGCAAGTCATTATTCATGGCCTGCCAGCCAACTAATGATTATGAACAGACTCAAAAATGCGAGTGAATATGGCAATAGTTGTTAGAGACCCAGGAAAACCAGCAGCAGGAGCAGCAGCAGCAGCAGGAGGAGCAGTAGCCGCAGCTAGAGGCTGTTCATGCAGAAAATTATATGCATAAAACAAGTGATTATGCTGTCGAGAGCGCTTGCCATTATTAGGACTGTAAAAATGGCATAAAAATGGCAGAGCAAGCGACAAAAGCTTCGTCGAGTAGAAAAATTACAAGTCAACAAAAACAACATTTCTAAGCGAGAATAGTCCGGCTAAAGAATACCCCGCAAAGCACTCGAATTCAAATTTATTTCTAATATATGAATATCCATTAGATACCTCTTTGATTAATATTAGCCAATTTATATCAAAAACTTTTTGACTTTTTCTTTCCTTTTCAGCCATTATATCGTATCAATTACAAAACGACCCCATGTCTATTATACCCAATGCAGTGCATTTTAATTTAGTACAGGGTGTGCCCAGTACAGCGAATGCCGCTAAACAGCCTTCAACAATAAGTGCAAGTCAAGCATGGGACTTGGACTTAGGACGACTACGTTGACTCGGCTGGTAGGCTGTGCAGGAGGGCAGGCGGGCGGTGAAAGCAGGCCGTCAGGTAGTTAAGCAGGTGCACAAACTGGGCGTGGCTTTAACATCCGCTTAATGGCAAAAGTTTTTTGCATGCGGCGAGCAAGCGCTTTAATAATGTAACCTCAAAATGTGGGTCAGTCGTCGCTTTATGGAAAGTCATTTCGATGTTGAACCGAGCTGGCGAAAAAGTCGCGCTCTGGCAATTATAACACGACCATATGTTGCAGCCTCGACTAAGAGCTTGTGGCAGCTGCAGGTGCATTTGCCACTCAGACTCGACTTCCCCTTATTTTATGTATTTTTGTATATTTTTCGCTCTCTGTGGACTGGGGCTGTAACTCGTTAATGTGTTGCACTTAAAATTTATATCATGAAATGGTACAGCAGACAAGTTTAACTTGTTGTTACTTATGTATATATATATATATATATATATATATATATATATATATATTTTTTTCAGCTGTTGCAGGAGGGGCTGCCTTAAGTGCTCAACAGCAGCCACAGGACTTCACACGCCGGTAATGTGAACATAGCCCACTGCATATCTGCGGTCAGCCACCACAGGTGCCATTTATAATTCAGCCACAATTTTAATTATGTTGGTAAGACGCGAACAGCACTAGCCGAGGTAGCAATAGCAGTTCCAGCTGCAGCTAAACAAGATTTGCGGTCAGACTGGGCGTATGCGTAATCTTAAAGTTCAATATTAAATGCAGAGCAATTAGTTGGCCATTTGATTGAGTGTCGCAAAAGCGCTTAACTTTGCCTCTCGCCTGGTTTTAATGCCAGGTATGCTGCTGATTTGAGCTGGTGTCAAGCGGCTTAGTGCAGGGCATTAGCATTTACATGGCTCCTGAGTGCCCACTAATGGATAGGTGGCAGCTGAAGAGATCATAGCTGACATCGGGCTCAAATTAAAAAGCAGCTTAATGTTTTTTCTTCATCCATTTCTGCAGTGTTTCATGCGAGAATCTCTACTGAATATAGCATGAAACGTGGCAGAGCGACATGCAGCAGATGATGTACTCGTATGAAACCAAGGAATCGACGTGACATTGGCAAAATAAATATTAAATTGAGATATATAGTTTCTTCAAAATTGAAATATATTTATATGGGTATATGAGTATGGGCATATTGCTCTCTCGCTCTCCTTGCTTCTCTTGCTAGCTCTACTCTTCTGTTCTAAACCTTTACTCATTTTCTACTTTGCTATATTCTGCTCGCATTGCTTTCTCTTCTTATTTCCTTCTCTTCTTCTTTCCCATTCTTGAAGCATTGTCGCTATTCAATAATAATAAGCAAAGAGGTCAACGTCCTGACTGAAACCATTTTGGTTATTGCCTGTTCCACGCTCCCCTTCGCTTGAATCGCCAAAAGCTTTCTATGCTTTCAGCCAATTAGAGCTAAATGCATGCCACTAAAATTTCAACGAAAAACTTGGCTCGTTTCTGCACATCAGTTTTTGTAATATGCCCCATAGCTTATGCTTTATATGAGCCATAAAACCCGTGGGCTGCTGTCTCGGCTTTCCTTTCATGCCCGTTTTATTGCAGCGCGCCTACAACATAGTTACTCAACGGGCAGAATACAAGCCCAAGAAGAAGAAGAAGAAAAAAGAGTTATTTGGGCCGTCATATGCTAAATTGGAGATCGTTAAAGCCGCATCAAGAAGTGCGCTTTGTTGCTCATTGAAACGCTCTGCGGAAGAGTGGCAGCAAATCCACTTCTAAATATTTTGTTTTTGCCTTGGCGCCAGCTCATTATCATCATAAGTAATCTAAATTCACAGTTATGCCATTGTTGGGCTCTTTTCGCCCGTCCGTCCGTCCGTCCGTCGCATTCGCTCCACTTGAGTGCATTGTAAAGTGCAAAATTTTATAGTCGACTTTTTGGCAGCGGCAGTAAAACTGAATCGTGCCATGGCGCTGCCTGTTTTCCTGGTCAAGTGTGTTGCACATGAATGGAAATGACTTTCGACTCCTGCTCTAAGCAGTTGGAGAGCTCACACACACACATGCAGGCATACACACATACAGACTACTTGTACGTCTGTTTATTGTAATTTACATTTATGGCCATTGTAATTATAATTGTTTTCCGGCAGGACAACCCGCTGTTTAACACTCTCACACGCATTCACACTCACATACTCATTGGAGGATAAGCATATACATTTTACTGGAATCATATTGTTCACACATTTTCCACTGCTACTTTAAGCTTTCTTCATTTTCTTTTTCTACTCTTTTTAGAGCTACTCCTCTTTTGAAGTGATAAACAGGACGTGAGTTGAGCGGCATTATCATGCGGAAGTTGCTTGCAATGGGTTCACCGTTTGAATCTTGAAGATCCCGTAATTTGGAGGCATCTTCTAGTGCTACATCGATTAGATTTCGAAATACTATCCAAGAGACACCCTGCCGACAATTTGGTGTAGTCAGCGATCCTTCGTATGTGAAATAATCCGTTTTATCCAAAACTTTGAACAGTTTGCATAAGCCAAATGTCTCGTTAACTTCAGCTTTTTCATGATATTCTATAACTTTTGTTAGTGCATCGAAAATAGGCTTAAGGACGGGCTTCGTGGTTGCATTCTAAAAGAGATTTGAGTACACAGGCGTATGACGATTTTGAACATCAATGGGCTCTGACCCACCTGCCTGATGTTGAACAACACACTCATAACGGCAATGTCATCCACGGCAAGTGCCCTGTGCACGATATGCAGCTCCAAATCAAAACGTTTTCCATCTATCGTATGCTCAGAGCCTTTCACGTTTTTGGAGCCCCAGTGGAAATGCAACTCCGTTGCATTGAAAGTCCGATTTAGCAGAGCTCCAGACATGCGAGGGTAAGACCCGTTTCCACTTGCTGCCATGTCCACGGTTACTAAAATGAAAATATTATCATGTGAATTATTCAACAACGAGTGGAATCCCACAGTGAATGTACCCGTGTGCCCTGTATTGTATAATACCGCTTTATTCGATGCCAAATTACAATAATTTCGTAATTTTAGAGGGTGTTTCTCAGGCAGAGCATCCTAAAAGAACAAATGAAATCAAGGTTTAGAGTTCATGAAATATATAAATATATATTCGCTTTTTACCCATTTCGTTAGTAAATTAATCGGCGATTGATATTTTCCTTTTGAGCAGCTGCCACCCCAATCAAGGCCATGCTGAGAATGATCCCATCCGCTTTCTAAATATGATTAAAACTCTTTTTATATTTGCCAATATTCAATTTAAAATATCCAACAGATAGATACCCAGCTTAAAATCCGCATAGCTACAGCTAGTAGTTATTAAGAGAATAATTATCGTCGTGAGCATTGTGAATGCTTCCTCTTTATATAATATATCTTCAAAGTCGCGCGAATAGATCTTTGCACAATGACAGCGAAGCTTATACAAAACATTTTTCTTCAACTTTTTGGTCACGACTCAAACTAATGTTGCACAACTATTGATTAGTTATAGATTAAGATAGAGCAACTATACAAATTAAAGCTGAAGTAAATTAGTTACGTAATAAAAATGATAAATAAAATAAAAATAACAATGCAATTTATATGCAAGTCATAGACCGTGAAAAGGAAATAAAAGCGTTTAAATAGTAATTTAAATACAATTTTTGTTTATAGAACAAATATAGAACTATGTCTTACATATGTATATAATTTCCCATTTATAAGTGGAACTTGTAACTGACCTATGGTGCATAATTCTTATAATCGATATAATCAAACGTGAAGAATAATCAAAGCGAAGGTCTATTAGTAGTAAATTCATATTTAATGCAAATATACAAGCATATATATGTATATTTATCAGTTTGTACTGTCACAAGTAATTTTATATGTATTTCTGTACAAGTAATATGAATTGAAATGAAAAATAATTTCATATCCTCCGCCCTTTTCTTCTTTATTGATTTATTTAAGTTACTTAGATGTCAAAACGTTTGCCAACAAAACGAACTTGATAATATTTTTGTTTTATTTCATGGCTCAAAAGCCGCTCTCAAAGCCTAATATTTTGCTTATGGAGCTCAATTCGAAAAGTAATATATTATTGCATTGCGGCCAATATGTCAGCAGCTTGTGCAGCAGTCGATTAATTTTTCAGAAGCCTACATACTAAATGCCGTATTTTATTATAAATGAATAGCCAATTGTGATTGCTTTACCAAGCATTTCGAGCTGCATCAAAGAAATGCATATAAATATAGATTTAAAATCTAATTGCAGTTGACTGCCAATTGAAGCTAGCTATGGCCTTGCATTTGTTATGGTTTTTTGTTTTTGCTTTTTTTTCAATCACCACAACGATTTGACATGGCAAAGCAAATATTTGAGAGAGAATTGAAAACCGTAAGACAAGCTCAAAAATTCAGGCAATAAAGTCATAAAATGAACATGCATGCAACTAAGTGAAATGGCAAACAAGTCTTACTTCTTAAAGCAGGAGAAAAACACTGAGATTTGTATTGACAAACACTTTGAATTTACCTGGAATGTTTTAATTAGCAACGTAATAAAATACTGTGAGATATTATCCAGATTGAATTATACTAGTTGTAGGAAGACACTTGACTTTGAGGATGTTTGTACTAATCTTTATTCTTCTGGGTCAGGGCTTATATACTTAGACTCGTGCATATTTTCATCCCTTACATGACTCAGACACGTGGATACATATATATGTGGAATATAAGCTATTGCTTTACATATTTCAATCAATAGTTATATTGATAAATTTGTTCATTATGCTCCTTTACTTTCTATCTCGCATCTCTTGGCTGGCTGTCTCTCCCCCTCCGTTTCTGTTGACTCTTTTAAGCCCGTCTCATCGCCTACTTAAGGTCTTATAATACATTACCTTATTGAATCATGTTTCATGACGAAAACTTCTTCGGTTTGTTTTCCATATTTCAATAAATTGTGCACAAGCACTGCTTAAAGAGCTTAAATTCTTAAATCAACACAATGTTCATCAAATGCTATGCTAAACTCTCAAATTGTTTTCAACTTAATTTTCAAAGTGTCTTATCCAGCTTAACCAGAACAAACAAATTTTCGTGCTGCACGAAATTTTACAATTTACATTCGCTGAATGGCAGACATGAACAAGGTGAAGCGTCGATGGATAACCTGGCCAACAAGCCGGCATTGTGCAAGTTTCATCTGACAATTGTCGTTTGGCCATCATTTTAGTCGCATTCAATATTTGTCTGATGCGACTAACTCAAACGTTTTATGTCACTCGATTCTCTGTAAATTTACTTCAAATTCATTTGATATTCATGGTCCGACTGCTTTGCAGCTTTTGTGCATTGTTAAATTCTATTTACCGACCAAACCGTTGTTGTTCATGTTATTGTTGTTGTGGTTGTTGTTGTTGTATTTACATTGGCGTTGCCGAGACTATTCAGCCGTTGAGCCAGGAGCCAGTGCACAAAAGAACACGAGAGCAGCTAAACTGATATATAAGTTAAATGTATGAAAACACAAATGTTTGCTTAGTTTTAGCGTTAATGGAAATTTCATGCAGTCCAATAAATCTCTAGATAAATGTCACAAATTGCAGTTAAATAAATTTCACTTAAATCCATGTTTTTAACAGTTGCACTAACAATTATTTACGTAGCTTGAAATATATTTGTTACTTAGCCTAGTCGCATTAAATAACATGTAATTTTTCTATACGCCTGAGATTAATTTGATTCACATTCTATGTTAGTATAAAATTAATTTGAAGAGCTGCTCTAGCACTATCATATGAAAGTCGAACGAACTGAAACAGAGATTTTAAAAATGCAGAGCAATGATTACTATATGGGTTTGACGGATGAAGGGAAATATGTATATATATATATATATATATATATATAGAGAGAGAGAGAGAGAGAGAGAGAGAGACAGTCGCTTCCTCTAATGGAAAGACGATGCAAGAGACATAAAGAGAAGACACAAAGAGCTGCATTCCAAGCGTTTTTAAATAATGAAAGTAAAAGAGAGCCAATGCATATGAGTCTCCCCTAGACTCAAATATATTATTTCATTATTCAATTGTGAGATATATTTAAAAATTACCACAGTAAGAATATGTATTGAATATATAAGCATACATATGTATATGTACATACATATATAGAAATTTAATGCGCATAAATTTCATAGTTTACTGTATTATAAAGCGAAGCCAATTCGTTCTCGGCATTCACATAAATTTGCCTATTAATTGGCCATATTTGTTGGCTGAGCTGAAATCTCTGGTGTGACATTAAGGTAGTCTACATAATTATTTCAATGGCACGCCCATCGGGCGCAGGTGCGACCACTTCCCTACTCCCATAAGTGCACTGCATGTTCATGAAAAATAAGACACGAATAACTTATTTTCAATACAATTCGCGCGGAGCTGGGGAAATGTTAAGCTTAATTTAATTGCCACAACAAAAGGCCAAAAGGCGCAACAATGTGGCCCAAGGCACAAGTGGAGCCAAGGCACAGACAAACGCGCGTACGCTTGTAGTTATTTGTCATTATTCACACACGCACACACACACACACACTCACCCGCACACTCATATATATATATTGACATTATTATTGTTTCGCACATTTGTCGTTGTTATTGTTGTTGCTCTCGTACGGGATATATGTTTATGTAGTACTTAACCCCTCCGTAGATTGGCCAGGCATTTCATGTTTGTGTGTGGCATACATGTTAATAATTGTACGTATTTACAAACACACACGCACACACACACAGACAAACTCGCACCCTCCGACACACACACACAACGCCCACACTCACACTCACACTCACAGGCAACGGCAATTATTATTGCGCCGCATTTTTGGCGTTTGGCTGGCTTAAACGTAACCACACGTTTGGGGAAATTATTGTTAATATGCAGCTGCGTTCCTGCGTCAATACATTCAGTTTTCAGCCACCACAAAGCGCCGCTTTCTCCATTCATGGCCATGATTTTGATATGCTATGCCATCTGGCATTTAATGAGTATTAAAGTACTTTTGCATCAGCCACAATACACGACTCGCTCTGAGCACCGCCTGAATGAGCTATTGAAAAATATTGCTGAAATCGATATTCCAGAATCAGTATTCTTAATCTTCTTTAATTCAGTGGAGATATCACACATACATATATAGGCTTTATATAGCTTTCATCAATAAAATTGTATACAGATTTAACGCCAGCAACAGACATTAATAAGGTTTTTATTTTTCCTAGAGTTTTATTTTTTGAACTGAAATGAGCTTTACATTTTTATACCCCGAACCCATTGAAAATGGGAAATCAGGGTATAATGGTTTTGTTGAAATGTATGTAACAGCCAGAAGGAGGCGTGGCAGACCCCACAAAGTATATATATTCTTGATCAGGGCGGCGAGCTGAGTCGATTTGGCCCTGTCCGTCTGTCTGTCTGTCCGCCTGTCCGTATGTTTGAACGCGTCGATTTCCGAAGATATAAGAGCTAGAGACTTGAATTTTTTTAAATGGCCGTATATACAGCGCGGACGTCGAGTTTGCTTTTAAAATTCGATAAATCATCTCGTTATGATTTTATCGAGTAAAAACATTCAAGTTCAAATCAGATGCCACTATAGCTAATTGTGAATGATTTTTCTTTTTTTTTTTTAATTTGTCAAATATTCAATATAATATGTAGATCATATGCTGAAAGTTTCATTAAATTCCGTTCAGTCCAAAATTAATAAAAAATAATCAAATATTTGGCCAATTAACAAACGCACGTGCAGCAGCTACAACAGCATCGTATGCGTGTGCACACATGCATTCAAACTTCTTCTAGAAACATTCGTTGAATCACATCAGCTGTTAGTTTCGTTTAGTTTTGGTAGATGGCGCTGCAGTAGTGAATCTATTTGAGTTTTGCCAGCGCCACTAGCAGGAGTGGGGTGGCCTAGTGTGTTAGCTGCATGACGCTCGATCGAGAAGTTGTGGTTCGAATCCCGATCGGTGCATCTGATGTTAACTTTTTTAAATGTTTCAAAATATTTTTATATTTTATTAAATAAGTTTGGTATTTTATTTATATTTTTAAATACATCGAAATTGAAATTTCAGCCATACTAAATGGGTATTTTTATGTGTTGGGTTCAGGGTAGTATCTAGTCGAGCACTCTCGACTAGAGTTTTCTTACTTGTTTATTTTTTGTTATCCTATTTTTTATAAACATATTGATACCACATTAATTAACATAAAAATCATTTTAAATCAGGCTGTTGTGGCATAAAGGGAAATGCGATTAGGAAACTCTTTATTTACCTTCTATTTAAAGGGTAATATATTCTCCTGTGTCGCTTATATCGTTGTTGAATATCTCGTTTCCAATGCCTTTCAATTTAAATTATTAAATAT